ACATTTACTCATCTAAATGCTGGTATCTATAGAAATGGGAATGACTAAAATTTGGGGAGAGTGACCTAGATTCTCCAAGAAAGGAAAACAGCCCTTCCCCCATTGTCTCTGTGTTCTGGAGAACAAACGACTTGTATAAGCTGAGAGATACATCAGGCTCATAATAGTGGGTTCTAAGAACCTGTCTTGTGTCAGGCACTTTGCATACACAGTGAACATGAATGGCATAGAAACTGAGGTACAACTGGCTTGCTCAAGGTCACATATGTTTAAAGAGGCAGGACAGGAATGCCAGCCAGATTTCCTTGATTCCAGGATTCATGCTCTTCCCACTGCATCACCATACTTGCCAAGATACATTAAAATATACAATTATATAATGATGACTATGTCATGTTAAAACTGCAGTCAATTTAAGTAGCATTTAATCCTGATTACAAATGCTTTACTTGCACTAACATGATTACATTACAATTACAATTCTTTACTTGCACTAACATGATTGCTTTCAGTTCTTTCCTAATTCTTTCAGACAATCAATCAATGTTATCTGGACAGTTAAAAAACACTTTAAATGGGCGCCTGGGTGGCTCAGTTGGTTGGGCGACTGCCTTCGGCTCAGGTCATGATCCTGGAGTCCCAGGATCGAGTCCCGCATCGGGCTCCCTGCTCAGCAGGGAGTCTGCTTCTTCCTCTGACCCTCTTCCCTCTTGTGCTCTCTCTCATTCTCTCTCTCTCAAATAAATAAATAAAATCTTTAAAAAAAAAAACACACTTTAAAAATGTGGGATGATAATAATATGTTATTGAAGAGTTCAGTGACGTCTTCAAATTATACAGCAATTTATCAAAAACCTAATTGCCTACCGGATTTACAAGTGGCCAGCAAAACTTGTAAATGCTTCCTAAGCATACACAAATTAGCCCGGCTGCTTTATGAGGTGGTAAGGCACACTGTGCTATCAAGCACACCCAGGGGTAGCACACTATAGATCCAATTCAACAGCATTCCTAAATGTTTAGCTCTGATCTGCACTTACATTTCCTGTGTTAACACCAGAAATGAACTGTGCAAAGACTTTGGCAAATAAACATGATAACCATCAAAGATTTTTACTTTAGCAGCACAATGATGACGAATGCAAAAGATACACCATTAGAGAACTAAAAGATCATGGGGCTGGCTGGTGGGAATAGTTAAGTTCTTGTTGAGACACTGTGTTTGTAAAGTTCCTTCCGCTAGTACTACACTCAGCACTTTGCAGAAAGTGCTACATTGACATTGTTCGATGTGGGAACTGTTTCTAAAGTAAATGAAAATGCCTTATATGCTGCATGTCATTATGAATTTCAAGCTAAATAAATGGAAGAGACTTTCATATATACACTACAGAAAACTCTGCTTTCTGCTCCAAACTGTTCTTCCCATAGACTTCACAGCCCTCTACCCCTACTCCCTGGTCTCCAGAAGCTAGGAGAAGGGTGGACTTTCCCGTCACCCAGCACTGGCTAGGAGCTGGGAGGAAGGGTAGGGAGAAGAAAGTGGGAACAAAGAGCCATGAATGACTCTCCACCCTTCTATTCACCTTCCCACTCTGGGATTAAGGTTGTACTGTCTGCGATCAGCATCACAGGAATAATAACAGAGGAATAACTGCTGACAGCAGCAGTGAGCTTTGATTCTCAACTCCCACATACCTCACAGGCATCCTAACATGATGATACTCACAGTAATGCTCTTACAGAACTATGCCCAAGCCTCTGATGGTGTCAGGACCCTTCTGTGGTTCCTTTGAGTCTTGAAAGGGTGTAAAACAGCACGCAAAAGATGCTTTTATTTGGATGTATACTCTGGTGAATTCCTGGTCTACGTTAACTTTTGTCATGTTTCAAAATGCCTTTAACAATGTCTTCTGCCTTTTTGGTCTCCAGTGATACCCTGACACCTAATACTGTAACTCCAGTAACACAACGGATTTCTTTTCTGAATGTACACCAAAAATATTTTAACAAATATGGATGTGTAAACGTCTAGAAACCACTAAACGTAATTTCGCTCAAGCAGACTGACTCCAAAAATGAATTTTCTTTGTATTATGTGAAAACTACCACATGGATTTACACAGCTATGATTTTTTTCTTTTAGGATTCTTGAATTTGATCAGCTTCAGTGGAATGCAGACTATTTTAAAAATAATACGTTTAGAGTTGTTGGCTTTTGTTAAACTTTGGCAAATAAATCTAATTTTTTATTAGAATTCATAAAATCTCTTTAATTATTAATAGAACCAGACCTTTAACATATCTACCTTCTCCTCCAAATGAATGATTTGAGAAAATTTTGTTATTTTATAAGAACAATTCATAAACCTATTGTAATGTATGCTTTAAGCGATTAACTGGACAAAATATTTTTAGTATATCTTGACTATAAGTGAAAAAAAAAAAAGAACTAACAGTTTCTGTTTATTCCAGTCACAGATCACAGAACTTGAAGTATTTAGTAATGTGTCAGACTGTGGCAATTAGCTCATATGGATAGTTTCATAATATATGAACTACTGTGTACTTTATACTGCTAACAAATTTATTTGTTGCACCAGGTAAAAACCAGCATAGCCATTTCAAATTCAAAACTTGAAAAAACCATCGCATCAAATTAGTTCAATAAACAAATTACCAAGCAAAAAAAAATGGAAAATAAATTACTCTATTTTAGAACCTATTTTGTCTCTGCACATTTTAAATTAATAATATATTTCATATTAGCTGCCTACTACTAAAAATTGTGTAAAGTTGACTGATATCATAATGACAGATAAACTAAAATAATTGACAGGAATCAAATATTTCTAAATTAATTGCTACACATAGCATCTTTTACACATGTGTATGCACAAGAACAAGCAACCTTGTATGTGTATTTATATATATATATATAAGATCACGCAAATATCTATTCACTTTAAAAGCTGATGGCATTACTGAACAACTGAATATGAGAGATTTCTAATAATATTCCTTTTTAAATATCTCATGCTATTTAACAGATAACATTCCAAAAACATGTATATCATCTAACTCATTTTCAACTGCAAATGTGTTCACATGAATCCATTAGAGAAGTATAACAAAAATATGCCTATTACAATGTACCCTGGCATAAAAGATACACTGATAAATTTCTATCATTGAGGCAAATTTCAAGCTCATCATTAACTGATAATATATGCATGTCAAGGTGAAATAATAATACTGCTGCTAGTTAGAAATTATAATTTAGTTTTACATGGTTTTACATTCGCTCTCTGTGATTTAAATAAGGTTATTTTGACATAATTAGTAACAGTATTAGCTAGATGTCTAGATGCACTTGATTTATCAACCACAGTTTTTATCAAATTATCTCTTCACATTAAAAAATGCATTTTTAACAAAAGTGCTATATCACAATATAAAAAACAAATTCTCCTTCCTCCTTTTTAATGCAACATTAATGAAGCATACATAACATTGTTACACAGCTAGAACAAATTGTTTTTTAAATCCCGATTACATGTTTCTATGTGTATATATGTGTGTGCTAACTGAATATATGTATTCAGTTCCATTTGCTTTTCTAAGAGTATCAAATGTAGGCATTCATTTTCCATTTAACTGGAAAGATCAAAATGCTTTAGAGATAAGGCAGAAAGTAATGAGGATAATTTTTTGTTGTTTAAATTATGTTGCCCTTTAAATCATATTGCACAAACACAAGTAGAAATAGAAAATTTCTAACTATACAAACTGCAGCATGTAAATATTTCCACTGGGCAAACTGTCAAGATAAACTGGATAGCATCAGTGAAAGCAGGTCTGTACTTTCTTGGCTACACAATGGGAAGGAGAAAAAAATCCAAGAGACCTCTTCAGATAAAACCCAGTTTTTCAGCCAAAGGGCATCTTCTTTCCCTTCCCCAAAGTCCGTAGTCAGCTAATTTCTAGATGTTATGGGTTTTTTTTTCTGAAACACAAACACTATTGGCTCTTCTGCATCTTTTATTCTTATCCAAGGTCCAATTATTCAAAATCCAACTTTTTTTAATGCACAGATGAATGAATATCTAAAACTTCACTCAAAGTTTAATAGGAAAAACAATCTCCATTTAGTGATTTTATATAGATACCAGAAAGACAGCACTAGTGATTATATAATCTAGGATAAACAGAATATTTTCAAAAGAGTGGAGTCCAATAAACCTTCCAAACTCCTATTTATGCCTTTACTAATACATTGGAAACAATTCCACTGATAAAAGTAATCTAATCATTTTCAGTAACACCAAATAATACTATCTCAACCAGTTAAAATTTCAAAAGCACATTGGTGGTAAATGGCAGTGACCTAAAATTCCATTATCACAGCCCAAATTTCATTAACTTACATATATTTACTTTGTCAACCCCCAGACAACAATATAGCTACAATGCACAATAGAGAAAATGAAGAGTTCCCACCAACAGGAAAAAAAAAAATCTGCTTTTTTTTCCCCATGGAAAAATACATGAACATGATAACCATATTAAACTAAGAAATGGTAAAATTTATACAGTACCTGTATAAATAATTCCAAACTCTCCATGTAACATACTAATCACAAGTTCAAAGACAGTAATATTTTCTCATCAAAAATGTTCTTTAGGAGCGATTTATCATCTTTTGAAATGTAATACAAAATTAATCCCTTAATAATCACACAATTATCTTCATAGTTTATGGGGAGAGTAATTTATTAAAACAGATACTCATTAACACATTTGGAAACTTCAGGTGATGTATTCTTTTATCTCGAGATCTAATAATTGATATAGATTAGATATATACTCTAGATAGATACATATTCTAGTTAAACACATACTTAGTAAGTACCACACCAAAGTAAAACAATAAGTTTGGAAATTTTAAATGTCCAAATATTTCTTCCATGGCTCATATTGGTGTTTTATTATTGTCTTACCTCAATGATTTTGTCATGAATCTCCAGGCCATCTGCTCTGTCGGCAGGTCCATTTTCCAAAATTTTTGAAACATAAATTCCTTCCGCTGATTTCTCTTCCTTATTATTCTATAAAAAATATAACCACTAGCAGTAAGAAAGATGTAATCAATATTTTATTTGGTTAAAAGACAATTTAGTAAATATAACATTGCCAATCTTCCCTAAACATGCAACTCTCTCTCTTAGCTGGGGATTTGGCACTGAATTTTAACTTACCTAATACCAAATAGTCATTAATCAAGATGGCAGCTTTAATGAATGAGTCCAACATCTCTGACAAGATTATCCATTTACTTCACGTTTTTGAGCATACATAAAAGGCTATGAGGAAAGGGTATGTACAAGGTGATAGACTGGCTTCAAAGTATTATTTATAAAACATCTTACTTCTCAAGAGATGTAGCAATTAAAAAGGGCTACAAGAAAACAACAAGCATATCCAGCCTCACTATATATTTGGTTTGAGATGTGGCCAGAGTTTTGAAAATATAATTTAGCCTCATGATGTGACAGATTTGGAAATATAGCTCTGACTGTATTCACAGGAGAGACTAGGAGGTTGCTCAAGTGTAAAATCCCAAAAGATCAACTCTAACTGCAAGAGAACCCTTTCAAGGCTAATTGTTACACATTTCCAGGTGCAATGAGCCTAATGATTAGTTAAACCTCAACCATATAACCGATATAATATAAATAGGACACTTTAGCAGTCATGGGGAAAACATGTTGCAAAACTTATCTAGGTAAAGTGCCCAGCATATTATAATAATAATTTTAAATATCATTTTCCTTCATGGCAGTTTAAATAAAATTATTTCTCCTTAATTAGCCTTTCTTAACATGAGTTTGAAGAGCCTCTTAAAAATGTCCAGTGTCATCTAAATGTCAAACACCCAAGTGGCATTTTATAAAAATATTCTTTAGGGGAAAAGAAAACAAAAAAGATATGATGAAAAGACTTCTATCTCTTCATATTAAATGGGGACTGTTCTAGAAACAGAAGCACAGCAGTCATTAGTTGCTAGGTTTTCAAAATACTAAACAGTAAGGGGGAAATATGTCATTGCCATCCTGACCTAAACATAGCATATGGTCAACAACTCTAAGACAGTTTCCTTGGGCAACATCTGCAATGCAGGATGCAAGAATTTCATGGCAGTTTATTAAGAAAATTAAAGAACATGCTTTTTTCTTTAAACTTTACCACACTTTCTAGTTATGGTGAAAATTAAGTTGATGTAGTAGTATTCGAAGGATATAAAAGAACTTTGCGACTACAGTATCTGGTTTAAGTTTATAACTTTGTATTTTGAAAACAATTGGCATCAATGTAGAAAATATTATTCATTCAATTAAATAAAAAATTTGATTTGGGAGCCAACAATATTTCAAATCAACTGTCTTTCTTTAACACGGCATTTCTTATATAACTGTGAAAACAATGATCCCTTATTTTAACTTATTTTAACTGTTCATTCCATCAATCAACATGCATTATAAACTGCTTGGTCTGTGTTAGCCTCTGAAAACTGACAAGTTGACTTAATAAGTAGAAGGTATAATCAGGCAATCCAGTTACCTAATATTATCAAGTAGAAGTTGCCTATACACATTATTGTGAAATAGGTTTAAGAAGTTTACCAATGGGGGGAAAAAAAAGAAGTTTACCAATGGGGTTATCCAACGTAAATAAAATATTAAACATACTCTCCTTTTTTTCTAAGTAGCAAAGAGGAACACGTCTGTTAGTTGTTGGGTTTTTTATTTTGTTTTCTCAAAAAAAATGTAGTTATGTCCTGGAATATTTGCATTAAGGAATCTGGTATTTGATCATAAGCATGATTTTAAAGATTAAACCACTTGTTTTCCTTATTCAAAATCCACAAATGAAAGCTGTCTTCTATTATTTTATAAGCAAAGAGATTTATGCATGCACAAGGTAGGTTACCTGATTTGGTCGACCTCCTATAATATTGAATCCCAACGTGTCATTTTCTCTTTCTAACACGATGGTGAGTGGCTTATGTTCTCCATCCTAGAAGAAAAGGGATAAAATAACTAGGTAAGGAAAGGAAAAAAAAAAGAAAAGAAAAAAGGAAAGAAAAGGAAAAGAAAAAGAAAGAAATGCGACCACAAACCTTTTTTTAAAAAAACTGTCACTAAATTAACATTTGAAAAGAAGAAAACCTTAAAACTAAGGATGGTTGAATTTGGAAGAAGGTTAATTTCTCCTTAAATTTACTTTGAAAATACATATTTTAAAAAAGTGCTTGTAAGAAAGATTATTTTCAAAAATGTCTAAAGGGTTTTATATTTTCACACATCAATCTATCTTTTATCCTAATACAGCATCTAATTCCAGATTTATTGTAATTTAAAACAGATTTCTGGTAACTCTACAGGTATCTTTTTTTTTTTTTTTTTTTTACAGTAGAGCAAACTAAAGAATCTCAGAATTTTTTTATATAAAAATTTCACTTTGGAAAGTCTTGAGGGATTGAAGTAATAGTGAGCTATTGATAAAATTCTTTCAACAGTAATATTTGGATTGTTACTGTAATGCAGGATCTAAGTTACAGTAATCCTAATTTTCAATAGTATTTTTATTTGGTTTTGCATAATTCCCACAGAATTTTAAAAAGAGAGGACTTGTGTTAAGTAAAATAGTGTGTATTTCTTCTCCTGGCAGCCAGATAATAGTAAAACAACCAGGAATTATATTTACAACCTGTTTATTAATAAAGACCAATTTAAATACAAAATGAAATAGTGCCAGACTAGGTAAGGTTTATTCATGGCTATGGGTATTATTAACTGCCCTAGGAAATTACATCTGGCAATTCATGGTAAAATTCCATAAGTACCATCACCACTGTTAACACCATCACCACCTCTTCCCAGGAGCTTTTCCAAGCAGTGCACGCAGCAGCCCCTACTGGTAGTGGGAAAACATTTCTGAGCATAGAGAAGCCTTCTGACAGTCTGCAAAACACAGGCAGTTTTTCCTCACTTCTCAGAATCATAGCTTGACTTGTTGCATGGACTTCTCTGTTACACAATTCCAGTTGCTGCTCCTTTCCATCAACCATGGCTTCCCTACAACCTTGAAACATGACCTGGTAATACGGAGCACATTTCTGCGCTTCTCTCTGGGTCTTCCCATTTTGTAAATTTACCTGGCTCTAAATAGGATAGAGAGAGAATCAGGGATAGCACCCAGTCTTTTAATAAGCATTGTGCCTCCCTTAGCCCCTCACACTTCGGTTGTCTTTTTTTAGGTTCAAGGACAGAAGTTTCTAAACTCAATGCCTGGGTTGGAGGCAGTGCAAAGCAGTCCCAAAGGGGAATCATCCTGTGTTGCTCCTCCCCAGGACGCTGAAGAATGAAAACAGCTCCTTGAATGGAGTGCAAGTTCTGCTAAATCCCTGCTCACCATGGCAGCGACCAACAATGTCAAACACCGTGCAGAAGTCCTCCAGAAGAGAAGTAACAGCTTTATAAACAAGCCTCTTCACACGGGGTGCTGCAAAGAGCTTGTTTATTCAGTCTGAAAGCGGGCAGTCCACCAGCACAGTTCGGGGCCAGAAGCTTCTACAAAGAAGGGAAACAGCCGCTGCCCAGGGGCTCACAGGGCGAGTCTGACCGCAGATGGATGTCGCTGCTCTTAGATTTGGTTCCCCAAGCCACCACCGCCCCCCCCAAACACACACACACACACACACACACACACACTCCACTTACGATGAAATCCCAAGGCAGCGAAGGATTCTTTAGGGAAGGTCAGGGTAATGAAAACTCTGCAGGTCTAAGAAATCCCATCTGTTAATCTCTCAACGCAAGGTTTTCCTGGTTTCTCACATCCCTGATAGTCCCCGCACTGAGTACAAGGTGGCCGATATGGGTAGTTTGGCAGGAAAACTAAGTCATTCAGAGGAAAAGGTGTGTGACTGACAAGGCTGCAGGGATGCTGGGGCAGCAGCAGAGGGGAGGCAAGGTCGGGGAAGTCCTCACTTCCTGGCTTTCCTTTTCTGATTGGCTTTAGGCACAGGCCAAAGGTACAAAACAAACAAACAAAAACAATGGCAGAGAGGGTAGCTCAGGAGAGTGAAAGATGGGGAACAAGGGTCGGGGTTGGAAAATGAGTTTTCCTAATTCTTCTTTCTCCATCGAAAAGTTGGAATTGGATTTGTTTAATTCGTTCCAATCAATATAAGTGGAAAGGGGCAAATCCTTCTCAAAGGCAATACTAATCCATCCGAAAGGTACTAATAGTGTACGTCCTATGGTCAGGGAGGGTGGATGCCTCCCACCTCACGGTAAGGAAGGTGGTCACCTCTAAAGGAATCCCGAAGTACCAGAAAGAAGCGGTCCTCTTTCCACCCCAATCGTTCCCCAGGTGCCCGGTCCCTCTGCGCTTACCGGGCCGCGGCCGCCGCCCAGGTCTCTGGCGAAGTTGCGGACGTGAGCCATGTACTGGGCGAACTTCTCTTGGTACCGGCGGGCCGTGAGGTGCACCTCGCCCTGCAGCGCCCAGAGCTGCGCTAGCAGCGCCTTCTCGCGCCGACTCCAGGCGAGGACTAGCGGCCCGGGACCCCGCCCGCTCCCGCCGCGGACGCCCGGCGGGCCCCCGCGCGC